AGCGGCTGGTGGTCTCGAGCTGCTGACCTTAAGGTTTACAGCCCAATTCGGAACCACTATGCTACCAGAGCTCCTTTAGTAAAAAGTAGCTGCCTTGAAAAGATTTCGTGAGAATGATAAACATCCTCACTGGTTATGGACAGGTTCTAGAAGTATCCCAGTTTTCAACAATTCTTCAGTTAAGAAACCAAAAAACCATACCAAGCCAGTTGCTGTCAAGTGAATGCCAACTCATGCAGAACTGTGCTCCACAGCGTTTCCAATGCTGGTTTTTCTTTAAAACTTTCTTCCCAAGCGCCTCTGGGTAGATTGGAATCACCAACATTTTCTTAGCAGCCAGTGGTGTTGGTGGTGGTTATGTGCTGTGGAGTCAATTCCGACTCCTAGCGACTCTGTACAGGGTTTCCGAAGCTGTAAATCTTTAAGGGAGCAGAAAGCCTCATCTTTCTCCCAAGGAACAGCGTTAATTAACTATTTTGCACTACCCAAGGACCCCAGCCAAGGCACAGATGTAGTTTTATGGAAAGAGCAGCATTAGATGTTGGGTTAGAAGTCAGACAATACCAAAATTAAGCCAAGAAACTCTGATGACCTTAAAATTTTAATCAATTTCTTATGAAACATGTTGTTAATATGCTGCTATCCATGTGTTTCCCACTCTTAGCTACCCTATTTTCCAGGAACAGTTGGTGGATTTGAACCATCGACCTTGCAGTTAGCAGTCAAGTGCTTTCCAACAGTGCTACACTACTAAGGAGTCCTGGTGTGATGCTGTGGGTTAATTCGCTGGACTGCAAAGTCACTTTGAACCGAAAGGTCGGCTGTTCAAGCTCACCAGTACAGGGTCGCTATGGGTCAAAACTGACTTGATGGTACTTAACAACAACAACGGCATTACTATATGAAATATGGTAGTAGTAGTTATGTACTGTCGAATCGGGTCACACTCATCGGACCCTGAATAGGATTTTCAAGGCTGTGAATTTTTCACAGGAGCAGAAAGCCTCATTTTTGTTCCCCTAGAGCGTCTGGTAGATCTGTTTTGGAAGAAGTGCAGCCAGAGTGCTCCTTGGAAGCCAGGATGGCTAAACTCCGTCTCTCATACTTTGGACATATTGTCAGGAGGAAACAGTCGCTGGAGAAGGATATCATGCTGGGTAAGATGGAGGGTCAGAGAAAAAGAGGAAAACCCCCAACGAGATGGATCAGCCAGGTGGCATCATTGATGGCGTCAAGTGTGGCAGCAGTAGTGAGGTTGGCCCAGGATCGGACATTTTTTCGTTCTGCTGTGCATGGGGTCGCTATGAGTCGATTCCGACTCGATGGCACCTGACAACAACAACAGAGCGTCTGGTAGATTTGAACTGCTGACCTTGTAATTAGCAGACCAAGTTATAACCCATTATCTACCAGAGCTCTTATATTGTTGTTGTTAAATGCCTTAGTGTTAATTCTAACTCATAGCCACCCTGTATAGGGTTTTCAAGGAGCAACTGGTGGCTTTGAACCACTGACCTATTGGTTAGCAGTCCTGTGCTTATCCTGCAGCGCCACATTAGATGGTGTTCCCAAATTATTTTCATGTGGAGACCCCGCCATTTGTTTACATTGTAATCGTGTAAATCGTTAATTGTTGAATTATTGAGTATTGGTAGTCGCTCTGCTAGCATGTAAGTACTTCTGGGAAAACCTATATTTGTTGTTGTTGTGTGCCATGGAATCAGTTCCGACTCATAGTGACCTTATACAGGGTTTCCGAGGCTGTAAGTCTTTACTGGAGCAGAAAGCCTCATCTTTCTCCCAGTTTCGAACTGCTAACCTGTGAGATTAGCAGCCTGATTTGTAAACATTCTGTATGAGTCAGAACCGCCTTGACATTTAACACCACCACCAATTCTGTTAAAAGAAAACAGTCAAATTAAATTACACTCTACATTCTTTTTTGAAACTTTTCTCGTTTGAGAATATATATATGTTGGACATCTTTCCACATTAACCTCATTCTTTTGAATGAGGATTCAGTGACTGGATATCCCATTTTCTTTTCAGCTGTTGTTAAGTGCCCTCAAGTTGATTCCAAATCAGAGTGACCCTCTATAGGGTTTCCACAGGAGTGGCTGGTGAGTTTGAATCACTCACCTTTCAAATTGACTTTGTGGTTTATAGCACCACACCAGAAGTGCTATGGAGTCAGTTCTGAGTCATAATGACCATATATAGGGTTTCAGAATGAACATTCATGTTTGTCTACTTGTGCATATATTTTCAGTAAATTAATAGCAGTTGGAATTTCTGAGTCAACATATACACATTTTAACTCTTGAAAGACGTTGACGAAAAAGTTTGCATAAAAGGTTATGTATTTCCAAATCTTCATTTTTGTTTGTCTAATATGTGAGGCTTGAAGAAGATTTGTTATTGTTAGTATCGTTGAGTTGGTTCAAACTCATAGTGACCCTGTATAGGGCTTCTGAGGAGCAGCTGGTGGGTTTGAACTGAGGACCTTGAGGTTTGCAGTCCTGTGCTACTCCTACAGCACCACATCAGGAGTCCATTTGTTGTAGTTAATTGCCATTGAGTCGATTCCAACCCATAGTAACCCTGTAGAGGGTTTCCAAGGAGTGGCTGGTGAGCTTGAATTCCCGACCTTGCGGTTCAAATGGATTATGCAGTCTAGCTCATTAATCCACAGTGTCACACCAGGACTCCTAGGCATCCATTTAGGTGGGGTAAAATGGGGAGAATCCTAACTCTCTTAGTAGTACCCTTCTGCCCAGCATCCTTTGACTTGAACATGACTTATGACAAAACAAAGCAAAAGAAAAATGTGCTGTTTGATAATTAATGTTATTGTTGGTAAGTGCCATGGAATCAGTTCCCACTCATAGTGGTAGTGGTTATGTGACATGGAGTCAGTTCCTACTCACAGCGATCCTGCTCAGGGTTTCTGAGGCTGTAAATCTTTACGGGAGCAGAAAGCCTCATCTTTCTTCTGCGTAACAGCTGGTAGTTTCAAACTACTGACCTTAGAGGTTAGCAGCCCGACTCTTAAGTAGTATGCTAACAGAGCTCCTTCCCATTCATAGTGACCCTGTATAAGATTTGCGAGACACGACTAGTGAGTTTGAACCGTCAACTCTGCGGTTCAAACCCAACTTTTGGTCCAGTGCTTCATCCCACAGTGCCACACCAGGACTCCTGAGAGTTAGTACTTTCTACCAACTCAGTACTATTGGATCTTTCCCAGAAGAGTTAGACTATTTCTCCCCTGTTCATCTCACTTTAATCCCATCTAACTCTCCCCAAAAGAATTTGTGCACTTGAATTTTAGGAACAATAATCAAGTCTTCCTTTTGATGATATGTTTTTGCTCTTGTAGTTGTTGTTGGTAAGTGCTGTGGAGTTGGTTTTGATTCATAGCAGCTACCCTGTATTGGATTTCAGAGGAGTAGCTGGTAGATTTGAACTGCTAACATTGTGGTTCAAACTGAGATTTCAGTAGAGTGCATATTCTGTAGCGCCATACCAAGACTCTTAAATAAATCAAATTTGTCACTGTGCTAGATATAAGAACAATATTCATCTTTCAAAAAAAAAAAAAAATCCTGCAGAAAAATATTTCCCAAATCATGGACATTGGGGAAAAAGAATACTATATGTTCTTTGTAAAAAAAAAGAATACATGCCTTTTGCAAAAACATAAAACACACTAAATGTGATTCAGATTCATTAAGGCTAAGAACCTTGTTTCCACATCTTGTGTTCATACTTCCTCTGAATTTTGATATATATTCAGGACAGATTGGGGGATGTTAACAAATACTTGAATCTAAAGCTATTATAATCATACATTTGACACTTTAGCTCAAAGTTAATCCATAAAACAAATTACACAGAGACTATGGCTAAGTTTCAAATGACTTGGAAAATATTTATTGTAAATGATGTCATTGGTATAGAAATTTGCAGTGGTTTTGTTAATTATTAAATTATTGTCAACTGAATAATTTAAAATTAAAGACTTAATTAAATGATTCCTTAGACATATACTCATAGGTTAAATTTTAATTATGTTTGGGAACCAAGTTGAGAATAAATTTAAAATAAGTTAATTGGAAACAAACTTTAAATATGACCAATGGCTGAAAAATGACCGCTCAAAGACATCCACATCCAAATCTCCAAACATGTGAATGTTATCCTACCTGGCAAGAAGATTTTTTCAGATGCGAATAAATTAAGGATTTTAAGGTAAAGAGATGATACTGTATTATATGGTCCCAGTGTAATCACGGGTCTCCTGGTGTGGCACTGTAGGATGATCAGCACTGGACTTCAAACCACAGGTTAGGGGTTCAAATCCACCAGCTGCTCCTTGGAAACCATATACAGGGTTGCTGTGAGTTGGAACTGACTCGATGGCACTTAACAATAACAATGTAATCACAAGAGTCCTTAAAAGAGAATCTCAAACCAAGAATGAAGCAGGATAAAACAAGAGATTCTTCCCTAGAGACAGAGACTCTCCCAGAGTTTACAGAAAGAATACAGCCTTGTTAACACTTGATCTCTAGTGAGACTGCTGATCTATCGAATTGTAGATAATAAACGTGTTTTTAAGCCAGTAAATTTGCAGTAATTTGTTACAGTAACATTAGGAAATTTACCCTTTATAAACTAGTTACATATAACAGTGACAAACTTATCTTCAAATTTATTATAATATCAAATCGTGGGGATTCCTGCATGGGATTATTTTACTTAATTCAAGTAAATCAACTCTTGGAATTAATAACAATTCCTAGAAAAGAGCCCATTATTTTAAACTATGTGTTACAAAAAAAAATTACCTTAAATATAAATATTTTTACTTTAAAAATTTAAACTTATCTCTCTCTTTAAAAAAGCAATAAAAACAAAATACAAGCCTAACCTTTTATTTTCCCCCCAAATTGTTTAAATTTTAAAGTAAGACATACTCAGTTCATGATTGTGCTTGGATGGCATTATCCGATCTGGCCCGCGCTAAACTGGAGGGCGCTGGAGAGCCAGACGCGGCGCTTGCTGAGGCGGGAGGAGGAGGACATGTTTACTGCACAGCCATGGTGCTGCCTTGGGTGTTTCTCTGGCGTATGCGCAGAGCTGTTTTGGGGTCTACGGAGGCTGCTGTCTGTGGTGAGCTCCCGGTGGTTGGGAAAAGGGAAAGTGCCTAACCTGGAGCCCAGGAAAAGGGTGGCATTGATTTGAGTTCTGGTTTTTTTCAATTTCCAGTTGAATGCCAGTCTCAGTACACTTGACAACTGGAGATGTAGCAGTTCTTGTTTCTACAAATCCTGGGCTACTGAACTGGAGATATAACAGTTCTTGTTCCTTCAAACCCGGGACTTGGGATACTTTGCGGGACGCTGGGAGAGGAATAAACTTTGTTCCGGTCAGCTTATTCTTAATTGAGCAATGAAGGTCAACTCTGGGTTCAGAGGTGGTAGCAAGCGGGCCAAATGACCAGGAAAAGATATTCCTTTCAGATGGAACAGTGTGTATATATCATGAAGGAATGGTGAAAATAAATATTTATGGAAATTTATTACCATATATATTATGGAGTCCTGGTGGTGCTGTGGGTTAATGCGGGCTACTGCAAGGCGCGGTTTGAATCACAAGATTGGAGGTTCAACCGGCCGCTCCTAGGAAAACCTATACGGGGTTGATATGAGTCAGAACTGACCTGATAGCACTTAACAACAACAATAAAAATATATACGTTTTGTATATATATATATACACTGCTAACCTCAGGGCCAGCAATTCGAAACTACCAGCTGTTCCTCAGGAGAAATAGGAAACTTTCTGGTCCCATAAAGATTTAAAGCCTCGGAAACCCTATACAGGGTCGCTATGAGTCGGAACCGACTCTACGGCACACAACAACAACAAATATATATATATATATATACAAAATGTGGCACTGTAGGATCAGCACTGTACTACGAACCACAAGGTCAGCAGTTCAAACCCACAGTTGCACACCTTGGAAGCCCTATATGTAGGGTCTCTATGAATCGGAACCAACAAATACGTATGTATTCTTAAAACTTAATTAACAGCAACATTAAGTAATTAAGTAATGCTACTCCCATTTTACAAATACGAAACTAAGGAGTGAGCAAGCCAGAATTTGAATTTAAGTTTATCTGACTCAAAAAGTGACTCTTTACACTATAAAAATGTATTTGGTGGTGTTGGTAATATGCTGTGGAATCACTTCCGATTCATAGCAACCCTGTGTAGGATTTCCAAGACTGTAAATTTTTATGGGAGCAGAAAGCCTCATCTTTCTCCTGTGATAAAAAAGTATTTAGAACACGCTTATATTTTTGAAATAGCTGGAATATGGTAATTGGAGTAGAGGAATGGAGAACAGGAGAAAGCGTTGGTAAATTAAGTTGGTAAAGTGAGTTGAAAGGTCTTCTAGAACCTCAGAACTTGGACTTTATCCTGTGATGATGTAGGCTGTAGAAAGTATCCAAAAAAAACTTGTTAAAGTGCCATGGATTCAGTTCCAACTCATTGGTTGCTATGAGTTGGAACTGAAGCAAGGAGCAGCTTGTGGGTTTGAATCGCTGACCCTTTGATAGTGGTCCATTGCTTATCCTACAGTGCCACACCCAGATTCCATGAAAGTATCCTGGTTAAATTTACCAGTGTAAATTGTAGCTTTTTCAAGTGTTAGCCTCAACAGGTGAAAATCATACATAATCTGTATCACCTTTGAAACCCCCCCCCCCAAGAGATCACACATCATTTCTCATAAATCTCAAAATTTTTAAGCAGTGGTTAAGCACCAGATGAAGTAGTTGGTTTACTGGTAGACACCATGTTGTATACAAATAACATATTTTAAATAACAGAATCAGTATGGACTAGGAGCTTATAACATGTCAGGTTCAGGATTTGAGATTAAACCAAGGAAATGTATTTGTTTTAGGCTTTTGCTTACTGAGTGGAATGCCTGGTATTTCACTCTTTTTTTTTTTAAGCTTTTATTGTGTATTGATTGAATGAAGGCTTATAGGACAGATCACCATTTTTACATTCAGAAGATCATTGTGGTAATCCACTTTTAACTGATTATTTTTTTGGTCACAGTTATTGTTGTTAAGTGCTGTCATGTTAGTTCTGACTCATAGTGACCTTGTATAAGATTTTCAACGAGTTGCAGGTGAGTTTGAACTGCCAACCTTTTGGTTCAAACTGACCTTGCGGTCTAGTGCTTCTCCTACAGCGCCACACACTCCTTGGTCACAGGAGTATAGTTGAATTGTTACTGCTGTTAAATGCTGTCAAGTTGGTTCCAACTCATAGCGATCCTGTATACGTTTCCAGGGAGCAGCTGGTGGGTTTGAACCACTGACCTCATGGTTAGGAATCCAGTGCTTATTGGACAGCGCCACACCCAGAGTCCATTGTTGAATTAGAATAAGTTAAATATGAGTTTAACTATGTTGTTGTTTAGTGTTGTTGAATTTGTTGTGTGCAACAAAATGAAACTGTGCCATCCTCACAGTGGTTGCTATGCTTGAGTCCACTGTTGCAGTGACCACATCAGTTCTTCTCATTGAATGCCTTCTTCTCTTTCTCTGACCCTCTACTTTACAAACATGGTGTCCTTCTCCAGGGACTGGTCCCCTTTTCATTTAGTTAGTCACATTACTTGCTGTAGTTGTGTTTCTCAAAGGCTAAGTTGCAGAATCTTGAGTGTAACATTAAAAACAAACAAAAACACTACAATTACCCTAATTTTATAGTCTTTAACAGTGATAACAAGTATGAATTCAGCCTGCTAACATTTTATATTTTGAGATTTCACAAAACAGCTAGTGAATGAGAAATATTTGTATTCTGGCTGTTTTAAGATCTGATTATCTTTTTTAAAAAAAAATTAGTTTTTCAAAATTTAAAGATGGAAAAACCTATATTTTTAACTATTACAGTTATTTGTTAATTTTTCATCACTTTGTGTGTGTTATGGAGGAAGACAAATGAAAATATGAGGTTTTTATTTATTTATTTTTTACAACAGCAGAAGGTTTTTGCAACTTACTTTTGGCTTTTCTTCATTTGTAAGAGCTAACAGTATATACACATTTGGTTCTATCGGTTAAGGATTCTATGATTGTCAAAACAGTAATAACTTTGGAGAGTTTTAAGCTAAAAGGGTAAGTCAATGGAAGGATACCAGAATGATGTTGTTAAGTGTTGTCAAGTAATTTTCAACTCACAATGACCCTATAAAGGGTTTCCAAGGATTGAACTGCCAATCTTGCAGTTCAAAACGACCTTATGGTCCAGTGCTTATCATACAGCATCACACCAGGACTCCAAAATCAACAAACAACTAGCTGACCAAGGTTTGGGATTTAGGGATTGAATTGTGCCATCCCTTGTCCTGGCACTGCATGGCACTGCATCCCCAAAGTATGTGTTGTAAATTCAACCCCCCCCCTCCCCAACTTGGAAATTTAGCCATTTTTGTGAGGTTAAACTTTATGACTTCTGAACACATCATGTTTATAAATGGACTTCCTGTCTCAGATCTAAATTATCCTTTCATGTTTCTCATTAGTACTTTTAAGGTATTAATTTTTAGATTAAAATTTGGAATTTATTTGGAAGTATAAGGAATGATGTAAAAGTTTTGTTTAAAGCTTTCTCTTAAAGACTTGTCGCTTGCTCTATATGATCTACTGAATAAAATATAGCTTCACCATTAATTTGCATTGTTACCATTAACAGACTTAGCATACTCATATATGTTTTGAGTTTGATTGTGGACCTGGACTATAAAGCCTTTCCCCATGCTAGTTCTATACTATTTAAATCAATTTCACCTTATACTAATATTTTAAACATTTAAAAACAAACAAAAAACATTTAAAACTAAACTTGAGTATTATTGTTTGTTTACCTTTCTTGTTGTGGTCATTTTTTGTGAAATGTTACCACTGGTAAGTTTTTTTCTTGCTACTTTATATGTTAAATCTTTTGGGTTTTCTTTCAATAATCTGTTTTGAAATATTAGATATGTAAGAAATTTGTAAAAGTATTAAAACAAGTAAGATACTTTTGATATAATTCAGACCATTTATGTCCTTTTATAGTCCCAGATCCAATCAAGAATCATAAATTGCATTAAATTGTCATGTATTCTTAGTTTCCAAAGTCCACAATCTTTGTCTTTCATAACTTTCAACAATTTTTAAGAGTTGTTAAATGCCTTCAATTCGGTTCTTAATCATAGCAGACCTATATAGGGTTTCTGAGGAGGGGCTGGAAGGTTTGAACCACCAGCCTTGTGGTTAGCAGTCCAGAGCTTTTCCTACAATAGGACTCCTTTTAAGAGTAGAGGTTGTTTTATAGATTGAGTTTGCCTGAGATTTTCTTCTGATTAGATTTAGGGTACGCATTTTTGGTAAGAATACTGTAGAAGCTATGGTATGTCCTTCTCAGTGACTCATATCAAGGGGTCCATGAAGTCTCTACGTCTTGATATTGGTGATATTATTGTTGATTAATTGGTTAAAGTATTTTTCAGATCTCTCCCTTTGTAATTAATAAGATACTGTGGGTAGATAACTCTGTTTCTCATCATACTTTCATCTACTGATCTAGCATCGAAATTCAGCATCTATCAATGTTTCTTGCCTACAACAAATACACCTACTCCTCACTTATTGACTATCTTGTTATCTTACATTTTGCATCCATGATAGTAAAAAATCTATTATCCGACTGTTTTGTTCATTAGCAACATGTTGAGGTGTGAAGACTATAAAACTCTGTGATGTGTCAACGTGGCTGGGCCGTGATTCTCAGTGGTTTGACAATTATGTTGGCGTCCTTCATTTTCACATAACACAATTTTTGCATAATGATGTGGTCTTTGGAACCTAGCCATGTCAGTAAGTGAGGAGTGGGTGTAATACTGTATATTATTGGAGTGTTTGCCTAATGATTATTTTCCATTTCTGTTATTCCTTCTACATTAACCGGAATTCAAATGTAAAGAAAAGTGTCCATTATCCTTCATTTATTTATTCAGTTACATCCCTGTATCAGTATAAACTCATGGGTTTATTTTATGGATTATTATACAGTTCTTTATTATGTTACCAATTATTTAACAGAGATATAAACTGCCAGAAAGCACTTACAAGTGTACTTTAAAATGTCTCCACATCTAGGGGAGACACACAAGAATGCCCAAACTTGTAGACAGCACCCATTCAACCTAATTTTTTTAAAAAAATGTTTTATTGTGAATTATATGATAGATTACATGGGAGAACATTAGTTTTACATTCATTCTATCGTATATCGTTTCATTGCCATGGTTACAATCCCCTCCCATGCATCATCAACCAACCAAAGGGTATACCCTGCAAGCCTGCTCCCTATATTACACCCCCCCGACCCCCCCAGTCTTCAGCACACAGCCCCTCTCCCTCTCTGGATCTAAAGTCCCCAGCTGCTCCATCACTCCACGTCATCGTCTCTGCCTCCATTTCAGGCATCACTAGTTCTCTGGGTAGGCTCCCACATTCCGCTCTTCTCTGTGTTGATGGTCCTAGGGACCTCCGCTCCTAGACTAGAAAGTTAATTACCCCCTTCCTTGCTATAAAATGTCTACCTTTACATTTCCAACCCTCACAATCAGTCCTGATAACAATTATTCACTATTGTATCACAAGAGACCCATATGCATTTCATTTCATCAGCTACGCCTAGACAGATCGGATACTACTCACTGGAAATTCTACCTTCCTCCAGGCCCCCTGACTCTAGGTTCCCTCTTGAAAGCTTGTAAGTCAGCCACTTCTTGCCTTTGTAGCCCCCACCCCCATTATGGGTAGTCAATGTCCAAGTTGCCCATCCCTGTCTACTCTGTTTGTGGAGTCAACCTGACTTTGATGGCTTGATGATCAGAACTCGACTAGAGGAAGATTAAAAAAATTTTTTTTTAAATAAAGGAAACAAGTGTAAACTGCTACAGTTTGATGAACTTGAGTTATACTTATGTGTTGTTGTTATGTGCCATGGAGTTCGTTCCGACTCATAGCGACCCTGTACAGGGTTTCCGAGGCTGTAAATCTTTACGGGAGCAGAAAACTCTTGATTTTGAATGACTGGCCATTCTGTGGTTAGCATACTTTAATATTGTTGCTGTCCCTCCTATATAGCTATCTACTGCTTTGCTGAAAATCAGGCCACAAGGGTAAGTTTCGTTCCAGACCTGAAGGGTGGTCAGGGCCATAGTCTTGGGTTCCTTCAGTCTCTTCCTGACTAGTTTTTTTTTATATAATTTTGAGATTTGTTCTCCATTTTTTCTCACTCTTTGTAGTATTTTGATATTTATAAATTTATGGAGGTTTGTTTTGTGGCCTAATACATGGTCTATTCTGGAGAATGTTCCATGTGCACTGGAAAAGAATGTGTATTGCACTGTTTTGGGGTTGAATGCTCAGTACACATCTATGAGGTCCAGTTGGCTGATTGTGTTTAGTTCCTCTGTGTCTTTGTCAAGTTGCTTTCTGATTGTTCTATCCATTTTTAAAAGCAGTATATTTAAACCACTGACTATTATTGTAGATTCATCTATGTCTTTCTTCAAATGTATTAGAATTTGCTTTATATATTTTGGAGCTCTTTCATTGGGAGTATGGTTATGTCGTCTTGTTCAATTGCCCCTTTAATCATGAGGTAATGTCCATCTTTATCTATTATGCTGGTTTTTGCCTTAAAGTTTATTTTATCATTAGTACTGCTACTCATGTTCACTTTTTATTGCAGTTAGCTTCATGTATTTTTTCCATCCTTTCACTTTTAATATGTTTTTGTCTCTGTGTGCAAGATGTATCTCTTGCAGACAGCATATTGAAGGATCTTGTTTTCTTATCCATTCTGCCACCCTCTGTCTCTTAACTGGTGCATTTAATCGATTTACATTCATTGTAATTATTGGTAGGTATGGATTAGTTGCTGCCATTATGTTTTTTTTTGTGTGTGGTGATGCTGCTTTTTTTGTTCTTTGTTCTGCGTGTCTTCCTGTGCTGTCTTCATGCTTTTTGTGTTCTTTCTTGTGTTTCTTCATAGTTTTAATGTTTCCACGTTCTTCGTGGAGTTTCATTTTCTTGGTATGTTGTGAAGTGTTAATTGTCTTCGAGGTTATCTTATATTCCATTAACTTTTCCTTCCATTTAGTGCAGTCTGTTTTATCCTGTAATCTACCTGTCCTTCGCACCATTTGGATCTCTGTTCCTACATGTTTACCTTCTTTCACATTGTACTTATTTTGATCATAGTTTGTTCTTATACTTTTGTTCTGTTCTCGACTCTTCCATCTGTCGATTATGTTCTGGGAGGTGCTGCCATGTATTTCAATCTCTGGTTGTTGTCTGTTCTTGTTGGTTTTCAGCCCACAGAACTCCCTTTAGGAAGTTTTGTAGTGAAGATTTGGCTTTGGCAAAATCCTTTAGCTTCTGTTTATCCTGGAATGTTTTGATTACACAGTCCTATTTGATTAATAGCTTTGCAGGATAAAGGATTCTTGGTTAGCATTTCTTTTCTTTCAGTGTTTTATTTATGTCTCCCCATTGCCTTCTTACCTGCATGAGAGATGCAGCTTAATCTGATTTGCTTGCCTTTGTATGTAATACTTCTCTTTTCCCTAGCTTCTTTCAGGATTCTGTCCTTTTCTTTGATTTTGGAGAGCTTGATTATGGTATCTTGGTGATCTTCTTTTGGGGTCTATCCTTCCTGGGGTTTGTTGAGCTTCTTGAATGCTTTTCACTTTCAGGATGTTAGAGAAATTTTCCTCCAGAAGCTCTTCAACTGTTTCTTTTGTGGACTTGTGTGATTCTTCCTGTTTTGGGATGCTGATAATTCTTAAATTATTCCTCTTCATGCTGTCCAACATGAATTTTAGACCTTCTTTGGATTTTTTTATCCTTGTTTCTGCTTGCTCCTCCATCTTAGTGGTACTGAGAGATTTGTCCTTCAGTTCACTAGTTCTGCCTTCCAGCTCTTCAATTCTACTTTTGTCCTTTCAGTGTATAGTCTATTTCTGATTGTCTATTATTAATTGTTTGAACCTCTTTCTGTAGGTTTTGAATTGTTTCCAATGCTGTATTGATCTTATTTGATTGTTCCTGTAGCACTTTCCTGTCTTCTTCCTTATTTTTCTTAACTCATTGTAAAGTGTTTTGAAACATTTTAATTATTTTTCTGAATTCCTTCTCAGGCATTTCCAAAGGCGGCCTACCTTCCAGAATGGAGTCCAGGTCTACCTCTAGGTCATTTGTCTCAGACATTTGATCTTGTTTCTGCATGCGTGCTGATATGGTGATCTGTTGTTGCTTTTTGGACATGTTTAGTGTTTAGCTGTGGCCTTAATACTTAGTTGAGTGTGTGTTTTGGTATTTTTTATTCTTTTTGATTGCCTTCAGGTAGATATAATCAGGAGGTTGGCTTCCCTTTTCACCTTGCTTAACTAGAGTAACTTTTGCAGGTGTTGTCTGCCTCCTTGGTGTATGGCAGTTGGTACTGGTTCTTGCTTGGATTGTGGGTCTTTATAGGGTGTGATTATATCCTAAAATATGAAAGCAATTGCTGTCTTTTCTTGGGTAGTATAAGCAGAGAAAAAGCCCCCTTTAGATAAAATCGGGAACAGAAACAACACAACAGAACTAAAGAACAAAAAAACAAACCAAAACAAAAAGCCAGATTGAATACTATAGTTTATAATCGTGGAAAAAGGAGAGGAGAGAGAGAAGAAAGAAAGAAAAAAAATTCTGTAGCCTAATATGAGTGTAACTATATTGTCCTCTTTCAGCTTCTTGCCTTTAAGGCCATCTGATAAGTTTCAAGATGCCATTGTTCGTTGTTATGCTGTACCTCAGGATTTAGTTTTTGGCCTGTTTTGTTTTTAAACTCTCTCCCTCTCCACACCTCCTTTCTGGGCTTTTCCTTATTAATAAACAGTTCAGGTCTGGCTGTGGCTGTTTTGAGCTGCCTGCTTATAGCATAGTGGTTGCAAATTGGGTGCCAGCCCCAAGGCCTGCAGCTCGAAACCACCAGCTGTTCCGTGGGAGAAAGACTAGGCCATCTGCTCCTGCAAAGATTCACAGCCTCAGAAACCCTGTGCTGGGTCACACAACAAGCAAGAAGGCAAGTCTCTAAATGCTGAGAATCTGTATGCATGCGTGGTGGAAGAATCCTCTAGTGGTGGGGATGGGGTGGTGTCCACTCACTCAGGTACCCCCTCTAATGACCAGAATGGAGGTGCATAGACCAGTAGGGGCCAATGAACAGATACCAAAAAAAAAAAAAAAAAAAATCAGAACAAAGCAGAACCAAGTAGACAATATTGTCACCATTGCTCCGAGGTGCATTGGTCGTTAATTCCTGGTGGGTCTGTTCTCCCCTGCTTGGTCTCGCCCAAGTTGTTGGCTCCAGGCTGCTGCTGGCAGACTCTAAAGTATGAGATTTCTTACTTCTGTTATAAGTTCCAAAACTATAAGCCTTCAAACTTAAAAAATTCCTACCTATGTGGTTCAGAGTTTTGGAGCTCTACCCTGAACCTGCTTCATCTGGTATTCTGTGGTATTGCTGATGGTGATCTTTACTACCCCTCTACCCTATCCGCCAGCAAGCCCCTACTAATTACAATTTTTCAAAGTGCTCAAAGTATTTTATTCTTTTCAGGTTTCAGGACAGTAAGGGGAAGCTGCCACACTTTTTGTACTGCATCTAAAGATGTTACTTATAAGGAACTTAAAAATCTGCTGAATTCCAAAAACATTTTGTTAATTGATGTGAGAGAAACATGGGAAGTTCTTAAATATGGAAAAATCCCTGGGGCCATCAATATACCATGTAAGTGATATGTGCCATAAATTAAGCTAATAACATTTGTCATAAATATTTACTGTCTAAAATTAAAATGAAATTCTTTATACATTTTTCAGTGGGTGAGGTAGGTCATGCTCTACAGATGAACCCAAGAGACTTCAAAGACAAATACAATGAAGTAAAGCCATCCGAATCTGACAATCTAGTGTTTTCTTGTTTAGCTGGATTGAGAAGCAAGAAGGCTTTGGACACAGCATTATCTTTGGGCTTTAAGAGGTGTGTGGATAAAGCATAAAATTTGGATTCAAAAATGTTTATTGCAGTATTTCATATGTATTACATTTTTATTGGTTTATTAGGAATTTCTTATAATTCCTGTTTGTAATGTCGAGATAATAGGATTAAAAGTCTTTGTTTTCAGTTTACGTAAATGCAATGCAGTCTATTAAGTAGGTTTAGGGACTAAATAGGAGCCCTGGTACTGTGATGGATTATCAGCTGGGCTGGTAACTGCAACGTCAGCGGTTCAAATCTACCAGTTGCTCTGTGGGAGAAAAATGAGGCTTTCTACTGCCATAAATATGTTCTGGAGTCCTGGTGTGGTGCTATAGAATAAGCACTGGATTGCTAACCACAAGGTCAGTGGTTTAAACCCACCAGTCTCTCCTTGGAAAGCCTATACAGGGTTGCTGAGTCAGAATTGACTCGACAGCACTTGACAACAAGAACTAAATACTATGATGAGTAGCCATTGCATTATTTCATTTTAACATTGTTATAAAACAAGAATATGCTTACAGTACTATTTCATGCATGTTTTCAGTGCTCAGCACTATGCTGGAGGATGGAAGGAATGGACAACCTATGAAGTTTCAGACAGCAAACAAGGAAATTGATTTCTGGAATACATGTTGGCTCTGTCCTTGTGTACATGTACCTTAAGATTGTAGAATAAACAAAAGAATAAAAATCTATTCATGGCACCATCAGTTAATGACTGGGAAAATTCTGTGTTATGTCAATTACTTGTTGAATTGTTTTCTCATCTGTAAATTGAAAATGCCACTTCCTATTTCCAAAGGCTATTAAGGATTGTTGTGATAATGTTATGAGACTTGTCATGAACATGTAAGTGTTGAGATTCTAGGAACTAATTCTTAAGTAGTACAGTGTAGTTCAATAGTATTTCCAAATACCAGGTTACTTTAGTTACCCGTATGGGACTATTTGTGTTAGTAGAGTCTCTATTTATCATACTGCTGCTGTTGCTGTTGTGTGCCAGTCAGATCCGATTTATAGCGACCCTGTATAGGATTTCCTAGGAGCGGCTGGTGAGTTTGAACTGCCAACCTTGCAGTTTAAACCAACCTTTAGGTTCAGTGCTTCTCCTACAAAGCCACAACAGGAGTCCGTTGTTGTTGTTAGTGTGATTTAGTGGGTTCCAACTGATAGTGAACCTATGCACAACAGAACAAAACACTGCCCAGTCCTATGTGAACCTCACAATCATTGCTACCACTGTGCCAATCTAGCTAGTTGGGGGTCTTCCTCTTTTTCTCCGACCCTCCATTTTACCAAACATATCCTTCTCCAGGAACTGGACCCTCCTGACAATATGTTTTAAGTATGAGAGACGAAGTCTGGTCATCCTGGCTTCCAGGTAGCATTCTGGCTGTACTTCTTCCAA